GGAAGAAGGAGTCTGGAGCTCTGGTGCAATGGGACGGGTGTCGAATCCACAAATGATCTCCTTTATAGGTGCTGCCTCCGAAATCATGTGGTCTCCGCAAAGTCTCAGATCCAAGTTGCACATAGGCCATGGGCAAGATTGCTCTGAAGTCTGATCGTGTTCTTGCACCGCGCCAGCGGCAGCTGCGACCGCCCAGCCATTGTGGCCAGCCACTGGGCAGTTGTGAGGTGATAGCATCGAAGGCTGCAAACAAGGCATCCGATGTCCTACGCTCGAAAATCCATGAAAAGCACATCGAAATGGACCACTGAGTCTGCATGTCTGTATTCCGGAGACCATCCTTGAGATCCCCTTTTCTTCGTAGCGAACCTTGACGGTTGCGAAGAAGCCAAAGCCAAACACCCTCGGTCCATGCAGGTTCTATCTCGGTCCTTGCAGGGAAGTACACTCCCGAGAAGTACCTCACACGGGTCGTTGCGGCCGGGTCGCGCGGATCGGTGCGCGGATCGCGTGCCGCGTGCCCCGAAAAGCGTGGTCCCCGCTTTTGCGTACTTAAGAGCTGCACGTCCTAAATCGGCCAATCACCGCTGTCTTGATCTCTTCAGTTCGATGATATGGATGCTGGAGAGCATCCGACGTCTGGGGAAATTGAACATGTGCAAGCTCTAGAAGTCGAACCACCATTGTTTTAATAGCCTTTACCGAACCACCATTGTTTTTACTAGGGTTTTAAAGATAGTCTTTGACTTCCAGGGCACGGCTTGAACGTCTCCGAGATGTTCCGCGTCTTGAATCAACTGGTATCGTATCTCACTCATACTCATTCAACAACTCTCCGTCCACTTCCGAGATGCGATTGGTCAACCTCCAGGGTCTCCAAATCCTTAGGAGCATTTCAGGGTGTTCCATCCGCTTGATCTGCGGCGTCGGACAGCACGGCATCCACACGTCCTTCCGGAGACGAGACCGGCCACCGACGGCCAGCGGGTCGCGGCCCAAGGCTCCACGGCGAAGGTGGACGTTTCGCGCGCGAAGCGCTCCACCATGGCCAGGACCTCCTGCTCTTCACCCGAGACTTCGCCCAGCGTCACGTGAGGTTCGAAGCTGGGGGCGTCCAATTTGGAGCTCCTCGGAACGTCAGGTCCAACACGGCGCGCGCGCGGGAACAAACGGGACGCAGTTGAAAGAAAGAGAAATGCACTAAGGGACCAAGAGCGAGGAAAAAGGACAACAAATGGTCAATGTCCATCATCCGAACACCCTAGAAAAGAAGAGAATCAATAGATGTATACTTACTATGCTAAATCCAAACACCGAAAAGATGAACATCGCAAGACAATGACAGGAAAGCAACATTCCTTCGAAACATGTCGCTCAATCTCCAAAAACATCCGTCTGACGCCGTCTGACCTCCCCACCCCTTCTGAACCCCAATCAACAAGTGTTACAACCCACTCACTCCGCTCCAAAGCATCCGCCAGCAAAAATCGCATCAAACATTGATATCCACGCCGAGCTTCAGTTCAGCCATGGCCTTCTTGCACACATCAGCGGTTTTGCCACTGGGAGTTAACCAAATGGAGTACACCTTCGTGGTCTCGTCCGCATCGCCATCCACCACGATGCTATCGATGCAACTGAGCGCACCCTCTTGGACCTGGCGCGTTTGGCAGGGGGGGGCAGGGATAGTGAGACCATGTGAACCGATACAAAGGTGGTGGAATCCCAAAATCAACAGGTGTTTGTGGTATTTTGTGGTCATATTCCATCTGCTGCAGGATGGTTGCACATCAAAAATCATCAAACGAAATCAAACGAATGTTGACTGTTGAGATCAATCAAGCCCCCCTACCAGAATGGTCAAACGTCCTCATACGTGTTTCATTATATAACAGCCTGTCTGTCTCTTTCCCCAGAGGGACACTCTGACAGAAGAGCTGCACTAACCTAAGGCTCATGCAGGTCGCACCAAAAAAAAGGAGGTGCAAACCGGGAGGAAAGTGTACAAATGCATATGTACAGTGGATAATGATGGTTCAGTTGCAGGCCGACAGTTCAAAAATAGTGATGTTCTTGTTACATCTGTCTATACATGGTTGAACTTCCCCCTGCTTCGTCCAGCCATCGAATGAAGCAACAAACAGTCAGAACCTAGTCGTGGGTCGGGGCTTTTCCGACTCGAAATGAGTCCCCGACCTTCTTCAGCTCTGACTTCAGCTTTTGCCAAAGCTCACTGCAGGATTTCCCCTTCTGGTCCTGCACTGCTGAAAACGAAGCAAGCTTGAGCAAACGCGTAGCAAGCTTTAGGAGCTCTGGACTTGATTCGTGGTATGATTCTGACCACTTCTTGTTCCCTTCACCTGGCCGTAAATGGATTCAGAACAGATGAGCGGTTCCGAACCACGAGTTTTTTCGCAGGCCCGGCTTCCGAACTGAAGCTGAAAAGTAAAAACATGTAAAAACCGTGACCCGCACCTCCCACGCTCGCGTCCTCTGAGGGACGTGTGAGCAAGACGTTGAGCTTCACGAAACCTCGGCCCTCTGAGAGACCCTGAATGGCAAGGCGCGTTTCAGGTACTTGGAGACTCTCGGCCAACGCCTGGCCAAAGAAGTGGAATCGTCACACCGTTTTGGGCGAAGGGACAAACATCCAAGCCACGCCGTGGCTTTTGGGGGGACACAGTCGCACAGTCATTGAAACTCTGATCGCAAAACCAATGTCATCACCATCGTCACTCTCTTTTTTTTGCTCATCCTCATTAGGGCTACTGTCATTGCATATTACTAAAGAGCACGTTTGGCAAATCTGGTCATCCCTCTGAACAGGAGCCGCTGCTGCTTTTGGGAGTTTCTACCACGATGCACTCTCAACTTCAACCTCAACATCCATAAAACGCGCTTGAAGAAATTGCAGCTGAATGGATTGAAGAACGCAGTTTCACGGGCCTTCAGCACCTTTATTTGAAATTCATCTTTTTCGGCTTCCTCTCGGCCTACCTGACGAGACGACGAAGCAAGCCACTTCGACGGCTGAACATGCAGCAGCTGTCCACTCTGAATGGCGGTAATAGGGCGTGGTGCCTGTTCCAAGATTTTGCTTCACGGGTTCACCTTCTCAACCTTCGAGCACAAAATATCGATTTACCTTTTCCTTGGCGTGCCTTCTCAACCTTTACGGATACAGTACATTTTGCTGGATAAGATTCCTGGCAAATGAAGTGAGATTGATTTTAAAACGACAACCACCTCCACACGAAGCTTTCACACCGCATCTTCGGTCAAAATCGAGTCACCGTAAGCTTCAGCGTGGCAACGCACGCAGCTGCCCGGGCGATGCGCTTGCTACGCCTTTCCAAGTAGCGGCTGTACTGGACATCGCAAATGTATCCTGCAGATCTCGACGGGAGAGGTTGGGGGGCAAAAACCAAAAACCAAGCCATGGAAGACCGGGAGAGGCGTTCTACCACATAGCCACCAAATCGGTACAGTACAAACTATGCATTGATGCACCTGGGATGGGAGACAGACAGACAGAACCACAACACACACCGGTCACCAGCCAACTCTCTCTCCCTCTCTCTCTCTCTCTTTCTGATGTTTTTCTCTTGTGTGGACACCACTCAGTCCTAAAGCTGAATAGATAGGAAAAAAGGCCACCAACCTGTTGGAGGCCCGCAGCAAGGGATCGGTTGCGGAGGCTTCTGCCACACTCCTGGCGGTTTCTGAAGTGAGAAGTGAGTGGCTCAGTGAGAGACAAAGTGAGGTGGTTCTCTTCAAGGATTGAAACATATTGAAACCATTGGTTTCTTGAAATATCTTAGAAAATCTTAGAAAACATTTATATAAATTTGGGTGTTTCACATGTGTGGGATTAATTCCACGAATGACATGTTGCAACTAACTAACTAGCTTAAATACCAGTTTCTAGCACAACATCTGATCCGAAAACATCTGATCCGAAACCATCTTCCACGAATGCAACACAAGAAGTCCGAAAACCTTCCGAACTTGGCAAATGAGTGACTGAGATGTGGACCTCCCAACTTCGGGCACACTCCCCTCGAGCTACGCGCATCCGGCATCCGCGCATCCGGCATCCGCGCATCCGGCATGCGCACGATCTCGCCCACCGTTCTCGACGCGCGCGACGACGGCACCGTGCCTGAAGCTTTGAATGCTACGAGCCAGGAGGCCCATCTTTGGAGCCCAGACCCATCCGCGGAACTGACTCTCTCGCAGCCGAAAACAGAGGCGGAATGAACCGGGACGGGCGCAACGGGGCTTCTGGCATCTGACGCCTAAGCCATGCGTGATGAGCGTGATGAGTGGCCTAAGCCGAGCAAATGCCGAGCAAATATCCGCACTTTTGTTCGTTCGGTTCGGATGCATGGTTTGTCCGATTTTGATGTCCAAGTCTTCGACTCCTGGCAGCTTCACATAAGAGTCAGACTGCGACCTGTGCAGTAGCATGAGTGCAAGCACTCAAGTGCATTGGGCAGCAGGCAGAATCGCGCAAACTGAGAACTCAAGCAAAAAAAGGAAGAAACTGTTGTGCAGTGAATTCTCCCCTCTGTCAAAATGGAGACTCCAGGCGTATAACGTTGATTTTCACATGATACTACATACCTCTCAAAGATTCTGCCCATCTGGACACTCCTGCGGCGCCCGAGCGCGCCCTTCTCTTGAATTAGATGGGGATGATCTGCCGTCCAGACTCGCCCTGCTCCGGGCGTTTCAGCGCCTGGCGTTTCAGCAGCATCTGGAACTGCTGCCGGACCACTCCTCCGATCCACTGCACCAGGGCCTGGCGCACGTGTTCATTGACCTGCTCGAAGCCGACGGTCTCCTGAAGTTCGGACATGAACTGCTGAGCTAAAGCAGCTAAACAAAGCAAACCGGTGGAAATGCCGAGTCGAGCTTGGTGTTTTTTCGGGCAACTTCAGACCTTCACAGGTCTGTCAACTTCAGACCTTGACAGGTCTGTTCAAACCCTCGCAGTCCTGGATGGCCTTCTTCACTTTGAACTCATCTCTTGGATCAAAGGCTTCCGCATTCGCCGAGTCGACCTTGGAGAGGGACGATGTGACCTCGTTGATGCCCGGCTCGCCTCGATTGATCTCGGCGGTCAAGGACCGTTGCGCCTCCGCAGGCATGACAAAGGTCACGGGCACCTCCAGCGAGCAGGCCACGTACTGCTCGTAGACGGTCCAGACTCTTTGCAAGTAGATCGGCTCGTGCCAGGCATCGAGAATGGCCACCACTTGTCCAATCCGCCGCAGGTTTGAATTGAACACATGGTCCAAGTCATCACTTCCCGAGCTACTTTGGTCTTTCATGATCCGGAACTGGTTGTTCACAAAGAAGCACATGAAGAAAAAGACCCTTTCGGCCTCAATCCTTGTGGAGCTGCTCCAAATCGCCAAAGCGCTTTGGATCTGCTTCAAAGTGTACCTCCAGGTCCAGGACATGAAATGCGTCTGAGGCTGTCGATCGGCTTTGGGCAGTAAGTCTACTAAGGCACAGCCTGGTTCCCCATCACGTGGGCAGGGGACCTGCTCTCCCAAGGGATCAGCACCGAACCAAAATGCAACCTTCAGCTCATGAAAGTCGGGATTTGGCTTCTGTGCCCTCTGCTCTGCCAGGTAAGTGAAATCCGAAAGCAAGTATCGCATGCCGACTCCTGCGATTCTACTGTGCTGGGCTCGGATCTCACCAGCCTTCTGAAGTACTTCCTCGTGTGTCCAGCCAAGCTCATGCAGTTGCGCTGCATAGGTCTCAACCGTGGTCACCGCCTCCATTTCCCAGAGTTCCCAATCTAGCATCTGCACCAGCTTCTCCGCTCGCTCTACTCGTGCAAGGATCCTCTTTCGTCCAGATTTCAGGACTGCCCTGGACACAAAGAACAAGACGCCCAAGCAAACCAACAAGAAGAGCAAAATGACAACCAAGGGCCACGGGGCACAATTGTCGCCAAAAAGCATTCTGGGGAATTCACATGGTTTGCACGCATCCATGTCTGCCGTCGCAAAGTGCCCTGGTGGGCAGTCCCTGCAATCACTCTGGGCCGCGTTGGGTTCCAACCCTTCGCTGCAGCGTTCACATTTCGAGCCTCTCGAGATGAAACCAGGCTGACAAGGTCTACATGAGCTCCAGCTCATTGGTTCCGCCCCTGCGGGGCATGAGATGCACTGGAGTTCTGGCGCTACCCTCAAGTTCTTCACTCGGCCATCTCGGCAGCGGCAGCAGGATGCTGCTGTGACGGCTGGGCCCTCCATACCCATCAGGACACCCTCAGCTGGGCAGGTGAAGAACTCGCAGCGAGGCTTCAGGAAGGCTCGCATAGTGCCTGGCAGAAAGTGCGGTCTGGAAATGCAAGGCGGATTTGGCCAAGCAGCATGCTGCAGCACACTGAAAGAAACAAACAAAGCCAAGTTTTTTGACCCGCCACTCACTCTTGCGAACACGAATCATCAAGGGAATGCAAGCGGCATCAAAACATGAAATTCCCCCAAGTGCATTTCACCGCCTCAGATTGAAAACATCCCTTGGCCATGAATCCCACCGCCTTCCCCACGTTTCTCTGGCAGCCCTTTCCCGATGTAGAGGGCGCATCGCCCCTTCTCCAAGACAAAGGCTGAGCAGTTCGCAGACCCTTCACAGACTTCAGCGCAGCCGCGGTACGTCCGAGCCACGTCAACCAGCTCCACCTCCTGCCGCTGCTGTGGTGCCCATTGGCCTTGGGCAAGCTCGATGAAGTTCGAGTTCACTGGGTGGCACTCCCCATCCACGCAAGCTTGCTTGGAATCAGGGCATCGGCGAGCTTCACAACTGGAACAGGTGGAAAAGCCCCAGTAGCGTTTCAACCTCCCTGGCAAACTTGTTGCTTGGGACAAGGATCGTAGATTGCACCGAGAAATGTGGTTGGCTGTGAGCATGCCCTCCATCATGCTGGCATTCACCGATGAAAAGTCCCAAGTGCCAAGAGGTTGATCAAAAGCTGTTGCACCGGAGAACATGTAGCTCATGTCTACCACGGCCGATGTATTCCAACAGCCCAATGGCTGGTCGAAACCTGTCGCATGAATGAACATGTAGCTCGTATTCTTCACGGAACTCATGTCCCAGGGGTTCAAGGGCTGGTTGAACGAAGGCGTTCGAGCAAACATGACGCTCATGTCCACAACGGCCGAAGTATCCCACTTGCCCAGTGGATGATTGAAGCTTGCTGCGTCCTCAAACATGTCCCGCATGGTCACTACCGATGAAGTGTTCCAGTCTTCCAAGGGCTGATTGAAGCTCCTGGCTTTGTTGAACATGCCCCGCATCGTAGTCACCTTGGAGGTGTCCCAACAGCCCACGGCCTCACCATGTGTGACACATGCGTGTGGTCTCAGTGTGAAACATGTGGTTGTGGGTCATGGCACCGGGGGCCGCTGCTTGACGACCGAAAATGAACAGAATAGACCACCTGGGAGGTTTTTTTTATCAAGGCTTGGGGATCCGCCTGCCATGACCCACAGCCACATGTGTGGTCGGACCGTGCGTGGAAGTCTCGTGCACTGGGTCAAGGACAGGGCACTGGCAGTCCCCCACAATAGCGTGGGCGTTGGGCCTGTCCTATTACCTGTAACAGTGGATGATGATGATTCAGTTGCAGGCCTTGTTCAAGAATAGTGATGTTCTTGTTTACTGACTGTTACAGGTATGTTCGGACAAACCCAAAGCGTGGGTTTGATCGGGAGAACTCTTGACCATTGCCCAAGTTCCAGCCAAAATCCTCATCCAGTCCGAGGCTCTAAGAAAACTCTCCAACTCACATGCTGAGAGCATTTCCACAAACAGTTTACTGTTGGGGTTCTATCTTAGAAAAAACTGGCCACACTCACTGGCCGCGCCCCTGAACTCTGTGGCTGGGCTCTGTGGCTCCTCTTGTCCTCTGTGGCTGGGCTCTGTGTCCAGGCCTTGTCCTCCTCTTGGCCGCGCCCCTGAACTCTGTGGCTGGGCTCTGTGTCGGCCTTGTGGCTGGGCTCTGTGGCTGGGCCTTGTCCTCATCTTGTCCTTGTCTTGGCCGCGCCCCCTGAACTCTGTGGCTGGGCTCTGTGGCCCGGCTCTGTGTCCGGGTCTTCCTCCTCTTGTCCTTGTCTTGGCAGCGCCCCTGAACTCTGTGGCTGGTCTCTGTGGTCCGGCTTACTGGAGAGGAGTGTGGCCAAACAAATAGCGATGTCAATGCCGACAAAAAAATCATTGATGAAAACAGATGAAACAGTTTGCTCTTGGGGTGAAGATAGGGCATACCAAGATATCGAGTTTTCCCCAAACACTTTACTGTTAGGGGTTCTCAATTTTTTCTTAAGAGTGTCACTGCTGGTGTCCGCCCTTCTCCGCTGCCCATGTAGCATTTCTGTCCATTTGTCTCCCAGGTCTGTCACTGCTGGCGTCCGCCCTTTTCCGCGGCCATGCAGCATTTCTATTCATTTGTCTCCCAGGTCTGTCGCTGCTGGTGTCCGCCCTTTTCCGTTGGCCATGTAGCATTTCTATTCATTTGTCTCCCAGGTCTGTCACTGC